CAGTGCATGTTCTTGGGGGGGAAAGGCTGTCAATCAATAAGGTCTCACAGGTTGTCAATCAATAAGGTCTCACTAATGTACTTATTTTACTTGATCCAAGTATTGCTTTCAGTTTTCTCCATTGTATTTTCCAGTCAGTTTCATTTAAAATGTATGTGTCATTTGGAGACAAGCCCACAGGATGCACCTTAGTAAAAGTTCCCATGAGCACATTTGCTCAAACTGCATTTGATTTCCTTCACTTGGAATAATCTACTTAGGATAATATAGCTTCTATATAAAATCACTGAGGTTCCGTGAAGGTATACATGTACAACATGTGTACTTGTAAAAATGTATTGTAATGGAAATTGGTTACAAGAGATGTTGTATTAAGGTTTTTATGCTGAATTGGGAAAGAATGTGTTTCAAGTGGGTGACATTTTTTTGAAACAGGGATAGGGCTATGGGTTGCTGGAAGAGCCACAGTAAGTGCCAGGTTCAGTCCCTGGCATCTCCATATATAAGGATCCGCTGGCAGGTGATGTGAAAGATTTATGCTGGAGACTCTGGAGAGCCAATGTCAGTCAAAATATATAATGCTGACCTGGATAGACCCATGGACTGACTTGGTATAAAGCAGCTTCATATGTTCATCTATGTATAGTTAACACTTGAGCCAAAGTTGGAGTGCCACCACTGAAAAGCATTTGTGCAACCTGTGGGATCACAGAATCTTGGGAATATCAGAATTAATTTTAGAAAGGGTTTCTAGTCCTCAGGACTGATGGGAAGTTTTAGAAAACTTGAACATGAAAATGTTAACAAATTAAAAATAAGTATTAAACTGACATACATCTCTGTATGAGTTACGTTTTTTAAAGTTTGTCTTTAATAATAACAAAACATTTTTCTTCCAGCATATTCTTTAGGAAAATCTTCTTTGAAGGGCAGTAAATTTTAACACAGGAAGTTGTATTGAATAGGATTAGCTAGCCCTGACCTAGATAGCCCAGACTTGACTAATCTTGTTAGATCTCAGAAGCTAAGCAGGTTTGGCCTTAGTCAGTATGTGGATGGGAGACCTCCAAGGAATACCAGGGTCATGACACAGAAGTAGGCAATGGCAAAACACCTCTGAACATCTCTTGCCTTGAAAACCACATGGGGTCATTGTAAATCAGCTATGACTTGATGGCAAAAAAAAAAAGGATTAGCTAGCTAGAATGAGAATCACACAGGAAGGAGGATGTTTGGTCACACGGAGCATTTGCCCTGCTGAAGGCACGGTACTCCAGCGGATTTTCTGGGCGCGATCTCACTGGAACATCTGGGAGGCACAGCACTCCCGTGGCTAACCTGCAGCAAGCCACCGAAGCCGCGTAGTTAAAAGCTACCAGGATCGACCTACCAGCAAATGTTTTGCCACAGGCTGCCACCGGACTCCTGTGGTGTGATCACGCTGATGTCCTCTTTGCTGCGCGCCCCGACGGTGGAAGCCTGGGTGTGCCACCGTCAAGTCTGATCACCTAATCGCGCATCAGATTGCAACAGCACAAAAAGCCACGCCTCCCCCCGTGTTTTCTGGCGCGTGTGAGAAAAACTTGAGGAGCAGAATGGCTATCAAGTAATAGTAAACTGTTTCATGTCATGATATTTTTGTGCAGCTTTTCCACTTCTTTTCTGCAATCAACTGCAACAATTAAAGCTTTAGTTCTGCTTAGCATTTTATGTAGCGCTGTATTCCACATAAAAATCCAGCAGTGCCCATCCCACACAGGCAAGAAACTACTATATGTGTATTTGAAAGCAAATCCTGCTCAGCAAATAGTATGCTTCTTCCTGCAATGTTTATTTTGTTCATTTGTTTTACATCCTAATTAATTACTTTAAGTACCTATGGCATTTATGAATCAGCTGAAGTATCAGCTGTTGCTTGGAGGAAAATTAAATACTGCTTTTCACTTTGCAGCCAAAGCTGCTAATATTTTAATGTTGTTTTATTATTTTAATAGGGTGATGGGAAAATAATGAGCAGTGGCTTTGACTACAAAGTGAAATGCAGTACTTTATTGTCTCTCCCAACAGATAACTAACTATAGATTCATTCGTATTTTTCCATTAAAACTGATGATGTACAAATATGTACTTCATAGCTTCTTTTTGTTTTTGCATGCTATCATTGTGAGCCTTTTCACTGTTATTGTGTTTTGTTGCTGGTGCTCCCAATCTTAATGAAAAGTTTTGTTAGAAGAGTTGTGAAAAAAGATGACTGACATTTCATCTTGAGAAGGGAGAAACATTGCAGAAACTTGTGAATTTCAAATCCAGACAATATGGTTTTGTAATTAAGTAACATCCCCAGTTAAAAACTGGGGGAACAAATGATAGCAATTATGGACTGGCTGGATAACATGGGGATAAACTAAATGGACAGTGTGGTGCAGGGTTTATAGCATCCTGGGAAATGGAATGTCGATTTGTAAATAAACTGTTCAGGCTTCATGTTTACAAAGAATTCTCAGTTTTTTCCTCTGGCCCTACTGCATTTCACATTGCATGTTCTTCTCTGGACATCTCACCACAGGGAACACATAAAATAATCTGGAGAGAACCTAGAAAAGGGGAATGAAGCTACTAAAGGGATGATAGGATATGACCTATAATAGAAAAAAAAGTAAACAAATGCAGTTTTTAGAACCACTAAGCCTGTTATGTGGGCCCAGAAATAGTAACAGAGTTTCCTTTGCCAGTTCACAGGAGAATTAGATCACATGCATTCCCTTTCACATTTCTAAGAAAGAAACCAGAACCAAGCAAAATCCTTTCTCTTTGTGCCTGGACAAAGAAGAACATGTTGCCCTTATTTAAAGTAGCACTGATTTCTTGCTGTATTGTATTTCATGGATCCAATCCCTTTGTATGTTTGCAGTAACTCTGAGTGGATTCAGCCAAACAAATTTGTTCTGCTATTATTTTGCATGGCACTCTTATTGAAATGATAGAAGTTTAACAGATGAAACTTTCAAGGAAGAGGAGCCCAACTCGTCCATCATCCTATTTTTAAAAATGGCTATCCAGATGCTTTCAGGAAGTCCACATGTAGAGTATGAAAGCAACAGCCCTCTTCTGGGCTCCCCCCCGCATCCAATACTCAGAGTTACACATGGGGGATAGCCATCGATAATCCCACCCTCCCTTTAAAAACCTGCGAAGCTATTGGCCATAACACCATATTATGGTGGTGAATTCCATATACTAATGAGATACATTTTGAAGAAGTACTTTCTTTGGTTTGTCCTGGATCTACTGCCATTTCATTGGGATGGATCCCAAGTATGGATGAAGCCCATAGAGAAGGATTTCCCTACTTGTATGACGAGTCTCAACTGACTCATGCTGTTGAGTCTCAACTGACTCATGGTGACCCCATCCACAGGGCCTTCCGAGTAGGAGACAAGCAGAGGTGGTTTGTCATTGCCTTCCTCCATGTAGCAACTCCAGTCTTTGGTGGTCTCCCCTCCAAATACTGATGATCCTAGACTAAGCTGGGCTAGTTGGGCTGCTGCAGCCAGCAGAGCTCTCTGAAATTTTGTTCTTGGGAGTGCTGGGAATGTGGGGATCTGCAGTGGAAGGAGGAAATCTCCACCCTTTCCTCTGGCAACAGAAAACCTATTATACTGCTGGAACAGCAATCTAGGACCCAAACCAGCCCCCCCCCCCATGTTGTGTGAGAGGATAGAAAATTTCTCAATGCACTCTCTTACAAATCTCTGTAATGACCCTTTCTATGTTTGTTGTTGTGTTAAACTAAAAAGCATGAAATACATAAATCTTTTTGTCATAGGGAAGACCATAAAGGAAAAAACCGAAAACTCAGCCCAGAGGCTCTCTCAGCCCCAACATTCACTTTCCTCTTTCATAATGTTTCTGTAATTCAATTGTAGGGAACCTGCACACGTGCTTAGTGTGGCAACTATTTATTAATTTAGCTTTTAAAAACAATCACAGCACCCTTGAATATTAGTAATACCAACTGTCCAAAATCCCATTCTGACTCAGGCATACCTGAGACTTGTGATGCAATTTGGATGAACACTGGAAATCTGATCAGATTTTTTTTATCTTGAATTTTATTTAAAAGCAGACACTGGTAGGGGGAAGTATTAAATCAAAACCATAGCTAACCCTTTCCTCTGTATGCTTTCCTTGTTAGAGTTTTGCAGAGAGGGCATAAACAAAGTGTGTGTGTGTGTGTGTGTGTGTGTGAAGTATTAAGCACACCTTTCCCTGGCACCTTGACTTCAGCCCAGTAAGGACCTATGTAGGTGCTTTTAAATAATTGTATAGAGATCAGGAAGACCTAGTAATGGACCCAACCAAGAGGATGTGCAACATCCTGGCTAATTACCCTGTTACTAGGTTGGAGGTTTTGTTGCAAGTATTCTGGCCACGTGCCTGTGTCTGCCTGAGCTAACTAGTGGTTTTAGAGTGCAATCCTATAATAAGCCTATTAAAATTAATGGGGTTTTACTGGAGAAACTGCTTGGACTGCATTGTGCATTATGTTGACTTACCTAATCTTTGAGCATACTGAGGTCATGTTATACTACCTGAAAATAAATATAAGGGGTTCAGAGGCCAATATAAACAATTATGAACTTCTTCGGAAAAGTCTAATGAAGAAACATTAAGAAGGGTCACTTTAAAAAAAATCCAAATGTAACTGAGATGCCTTTTATTTATGCTGCTGCATAAGAATTAGGAAACTTCTTTTGCCTGGAACTGCAGCAGGGGATCCATTACCTCATCTGAAACTATTACAGTCCTTCCCCGTGTCACTCAATATGGTTAACAACACAGGAGCTCTCTGGGTTAGATTGGAGATACGTGCTGCTAGCAGTGAATGTAAGCATGAATGAATAAATATTAAATATATTAGCCCTTGGTGCATGATTCCAAAAGTCCTGTTCCAGCTGTTGTGTTGGTCTATGAGCTAATGGGCTCCTGTTCTTTCTGCCCACAGGCTGCTAGGCAGAATGTCCACGGATGAGCGGCACCTCACCTCCAGTTGTGGATCTTTCATCAAGACTGAGCCATCCAGCCCTTCTTCCGGCATTGACGCCATTAGCCACCACAGTCCAAGTGGTTCTTCGGATGCCAGTGGTGGTTACGGCATCACTATAGGGGGCCACCCCAATGGCCTGGACTCACCGCCCATGTTCAACAGTGCAGGGATTGGTGGTGGGCCCTGCCGCAAGCGGTATGATGACTGCGCCAGTGCCATCATGGAAGACTCGCCCACCAAGTGCGAGTATATGCTCAATGCCATCCCCAAGAGGCTGTGTCTCGTGTGTGGGGACATTGCATCTGGATATCACTATGGAGTGGCCTCCTGTGAAGCATGCAAAGCCTTCTTCAAGCGAACAATTCAAGGTATGGAGCCTGGGAGAGCAATGGAAATGAGGTGGCCAATGTTTTCTTTGGTTTTCAGGTGGAGGTTTGGTGCTTCTTAATCAGGAATGACACTGCAACAAAATTCTAAGCCTGAAATGCAGCTACTGATTGTAGAGGGATAGCTGTATTAGTCTGTTGCAGCAAAAATTAAACAGGAGTCTGGTGGCACATAAAAGACTAACATTTTATTCTTGCATAAAATGTCCTGGGCTAGATCCTGCTTCTTCAGATGTAGAAGTATGGAAAGAAAGGGAGAATTCAAAACTTTTGGAGTTGGTTTGGGTCACTCAGGAATGGATCTTGTGTGTGTGCCGCCAAAGCTTGAGTGCTGGCGAATATACAATCCACAGCTGAGGATGTGTTGTTGATGACGTTTTCAAACTTGGATGCAAAAGTTATGGTTCAGATTCAATTTGTCCTACATCTTGGAACAATGATGGGATTTAGAACTGGGAGAAAAAGTTTCCTTCAGTGGAAAGCCAGAGAAAAGTTCTCCTTTTCAGGGAAAATCTTCCTGAGATGCACAATAAAAGAGTGCTAGGCAAGCACCCAACTATGCAGTTCCTCTGACAGAATGGGGTTTTCATTTGCGGAAAAGGGAATGGTGATTTCCACTGATTTTCAATTTATAAAGAAGACCTCCACTTTGTCCCCATGCTGTTCCTGATGATCAACTGACCCCCCCCCCCCGGAAAAAAGGGAGCGGTGGTGGCTCCTGGGGTATAGCAGGAAGCAGAATGGGAAAGTCCTGCTCTGCAGAGTCCATTGATGACACATGCCAATGAGTTTTACAAGCCATTTAATTGGACTATGTGGCTTGTCCCTGCTAAACTGATAACACCTACAGTTGTCACAAGGGCTAGCTAGGCTGGAGGAGTTCAGATATGCTGGTTCATAGGATTGTAAGTGGGGATCTGATGTTTCACACTCAGTGGCGGAGTGCAAGAGATTAAAGGCATTCTTCAGTCCAAAAATTGGTTCACAGATCTTTTTTAATCTGTTAGTCTTATCTTATTAATAGTGCAGGACAGTTTCCACCCCCCAAAAAACCCCATACTGTATCTTACTGAACTTACTGGTTAAGAGCCATCACGGGCACACACAAATGTGGTTCAGCTGACAGAGGTAGGGCTTAGAACTAAGCTATGTGAGCTTAAATACTTGAGACTTACCTTGGGCAGATCATTATCTGTCATGCTCAGTTTCCCTTCTGTAACATGGGAAGAACGCTGACCTAACTCTTAGAATGGCTTTCAAAATGAATGAAGTAAGGATTGTATACTGTGCATTCTGTCCACTAAAAGCATTGGGGCATTTGAAACCACTATATAAATGCTGCAAAAACAGCTATCCCACTGTGACTACAATATAACATATGAGAGCTGATCAGTATTTATTGAATGCGTTTAAAATTTTTCTAATCCTCTTTTCTCACAAAATGGGACTCACAGTGGCAACCTAAATTAACTAACCAGTTTCCCAATCAATACGTTTTCCAGGGCACACCTGTACAAAGTGTTACTGGCATGCAAACATCACTATGCACGCATACCAGGCAATTTCCATATGCACAGTTGTACAAATTGAAAAGACCAAGATTATTAATCTGAAAGGGCAGGAATATTGAATTGACTCCAAAAGCCCCCTTGACTCCTATGAAGTGAATGAAGGAGGCATGTGGGAGGGGGGGTTGTTATATTTTAACTCACAAGTATTCATTTAGTCTTATTCTGTGGTGTTCAGGATGTTAAAAAACGAACAAACCATAACAAGCATTGCAGGAGAAAGTCCTTCATAGCCTCTGTAGAGCATGATTATGTTATTTAATTCTGGGAATTTTTATTGGGTTTCTTTATGATATGCAAATCAGTGTCATCATACACAGGCCCCATACTTGTGCTGCGCTTCTTTCTGGCTCTTCCTCTCCTACTATATGGGGGGGGGGGGGGAAAACACCTAGAAATGCATTTGTCAATGTAGAGTTTTACTAATAGTGGAGCTAGTGCTCCAGTGCTTCAAAGTCTTCTTTATTCACTGATGTTGCCAAATGCAGAGCAAGAGAGTGGCATTAAATCAATGGAACACAAAGAAAGTATCCTCAGTAAGAAGAGATTTAGTACCTCATATAGAGCCTTGTGCAAATGACACATATTTGTAGTTCTGCACAGAATATTTGTTCTTTGAAACTAATTTTCCCATCATGGAGAGCTTTTAGGACACATTGCATGGATTGTCTTCTTCACAACACATTGACTTTTAGCAACATGATAGTTCTGCATTAGCAAGAGGTCCTTCCCTTGCCCAGTGTCTTCCTTCTATACAGCTCTTAAAGCTACATCAAATTTGTGCCATCCATGTGGCACCCAAAATTTTCTGTTAGATGTGTTCCCTGGGCCTAACTAATGGATGTTCAGCAGCCCTTGCTCTGTCCTGTTTGATGTAGAGCCAGTTTGGTGTAGTGGTTAAGAGCAGTGGACTCTAATCTGGGGAACTGGGTTCCATTGCTCCCTCCTCCACATGCAGCCAGCTGGGTGACCTTGGGTCAGTCACAGTTCTCTCAGAGCTCTCTCAGCCCCACCTGCCTCACAGGGTGTCTGTTGTGGAGAGAGGAAGGGAAGGAGACTGTAAGCTGCTCTGGGACTTTGGGTGAAGGGCAGGGTATAAATCTAACTCTTCTGCCTGATCCTACAAAGTTTGTTGTCTCAGGGTTTAGGATTGCACTTGAAGGAGGCTACTTGGATTCAGTCAATGTCCATGAACTGGCTTTTTGGAAACTGGTTTTCATTCTACCTCTCTGCTTGGTGATGCCATTCTACCTGCTATATGCCTGTTAGTTTTTTTCACATTCAGAAAGTCTTCCCTTTTGGAAATGCCACACTACCTAGGAGGAGAGCTTGGATGCTGCTGATTCTCTGCTGCAGCGATGGTACTTGCAATGGATCACTGCATATCTTAAGTACTGCACCTGTTCATGGGAAACAGCAAAATGTGCATCTACCATATCATTTAAATTAAATCACCACATTTGTAGGGACCATCATTCAAGTTAAAACAGCTGTTACCCACATTACATGGTGCATTAACTATATTTACAAGTTCAAAAAGCCTGCCTTGGAGACACAAGGATGTTCTTAGGCAGTGTCTGCACCAGCAGTTTTTCATGCAACATGCTGCTGAATTTGGGTGAGGAGAGGCACAATCCACACCTTGCCCTGTGAACTGTCTCTGAGCTACCATTGCTGGTTTTCTCATGACAAATCATGCAGTTAATCAAAGAGATGCACATGTTCTGAGCTGTGAGTACAGCCCTGTGCTGCTTTCTGGCCATTTCTCCTTCACTACTGAAGCTTATTCTTCTTTTAAATGTTTGTTCCATTTGGACCATCAAACCCATGCACTTGTGAGCCTAGGTATGTTACTAAGTTTTTCTGCTAGTAAAAATCAACACTCAAAACACCCAACAAAAATTTAGTTGATCTTGTAAAAGATGGAGGAGGAGGAGCTAAAACTTGAGACAGGATGATGAAGTCACCAAGGCTGTAGAAGTTCAAAAGCAGCCTCATGAAAAGTTGGATTTATTTAGCAGGAAAAAAAGATTCAGATGTTTATGGTGAATGGATGTATTTGCACAAAATCACTTTATTTTTTTTCTTAACTAAAAACGTCTTTTGGTATCAAAGTATTAATTGCAGGAAGATTTGAAACTCATTTGTGAAGTACTAGCTTTTATACACACCCTTGCTTTCTACCATGACTTGGAATCCTAACTTGGGAAAGCAGATCACAGATGTAATTGATAGAAAGCCCCTTACATGAGATACACCTTTACAGTTCTGACAGAATAAAATTAAAGTATAGGCACAATGGTAAATGGCTGCAACATACCCCAAGATATGCCAATGACAGGTACTCTATGATTTGGCCATTGTGACCTTAGTATCAAGTCTAAACTTCTCTTGGGACCACAACCCTTGTGTTGCTGGATGGGTTTCCTGCCCACAGCAGTAAGTGCAGAAGACATAGTGGCAACACATTGGGCAGTGGTGGTGGTGGGGAGGCCTAGATGGCTTTAATTGCAGGAATTGGAAATGTGCTGCAGGCACTTTTGTGTCATACAGTCCTGACCTGAAAGATGCTTCTGGCTGCTGGACCATATAACTGGCAGAGTACAATGTAGACTGAGCAGTTCTTGCAAATGGCTCATTGGTTTATCTGAAGTGTTTGTATATCTCTTGTACCCACCCAAGTGCTCAAACTGGTTAACAATAATAAACATCAATCAAGACCAAATGGCCACAACTCATAACCATCAGTATTGTTAAAAGGCACATTCCCAAATAGAAGCCACACAGCACCAGTAATTAAATCCGTAGACTTGTTTTCTGATGTTGTGTACAGTGCCCCCTTGCCCAGATTGCCCGGAGGCATGGGCTGGGCTGTCACCAATATGCGGATGACACCCAGCTCTATCTGCTGCTGGGCGGCCAGTCGGGCTCTACCCTGGAAGACCTGGGCCGGGCGCTTCAGGATGTGGCGGGATGGCTGAGACTGAGCCGATTGAAATTGAATCCGATGAAGACGGAGGTCCTGTGCCTGAATCGGAGTCGTTCTGGGGTGGGAATCCCATTACCAACCTTCGATGGGGTGCCGTTGGTGCCAGCGTCGTGGGTCCGGAGTTTGGGAGTGCTCCTGGATGCTTCCTTAACAATGGAGGCCCAGGTAGCAGCCACTGCCAAGGCAGCCTTCTACCATCTTCGGCTGATTAGGCAGCTGGTTCCTTTCCTTGAGCGCAAAGATCTGGCGTCAGTGATCCATGCTATGGTCACCTCGAGGTTGGATTACTGCAATGCTCTCTACATGGGGCTGCCCTTGGGGCAACTTCGGAAGCTGCAGCTGGTACAAAACGCAGCAGCCAGGCTATTGATGGGCCTCCCGATGCGGGAGCACATCCAGCCTGTGCTAAAGGCATTGCACTGGCT